ATATATGTATATATATATAGCTTTCCAAAAGTTGTACAAATTTATACTTACCAGCAGTGTAAGAAAATACCTGTTTCTGCATAAATATGTCATCTTATCATCATGAAAGAGTCTTAAGAGCATTAACCTGAAATTCCTCTCACAACCTATATTGGAAAAGGAACTCTTTGTAAGTTTAGTAGGAGTAATGGTATATATGTATATATATATAGCTTTCCAAAAGTTGTACAAATTTATACTTACCAGCAGTGTAAGAAAATACCTGTTTCTGCATAAATATGTCATCTTATCCTCATGAAAGAGTCTTAAGAGCATTAACCTGAAATTCCTCTCACAACCTATATTGGAAAAGGAACTCTTTGTAAGTTTAGTAACAGGAGTAATGGTTAATATTTGCTATAAAGTCTTTGCATAGTTCGTGAGAGCAATGTACCATACATTAAATAGGAGTCAAATTAATTTTTCATATTGTGGAAAAGAATGTGTATATCAATCAACCCAAATAAGGTTTTGGCCACATCTACTATTAGTAAGGCACTATAGTAGAAACTGGAGAGTATGACTGATTGTAAGAGGCTTACAGTTTAGTTGGAAAAGTATAAGCACCAAAGGAGTTCAATAACAATATGATATTTAAATAAGTTTCTGAAAATAGCACAACTTAGTACAAAATTATTTGTCAAGGAAGCAATGTGGAAAATGAAGCTGCTACAAGTTCAGAGAGGAAAGAAAATACTGCATGCATCACTCACTAATTGTTCCCTACTCAAACATTCTTCCTGGTTCAACACTAAAGAATCCATCCTTACCCTTTATGACAAAAGTTTTGTTGGTTGGTCTCTCCTTAATTACTGGATGCTGTAAATGTATCTGCCCTTCTGGGATACTATTTCTGGCTATAAATAATACAATTCAAATTGGCTCCACGCCAGTATTGGAAAAATGCAGAATTTCATGAGGTTAATGAAAGCGATGTTGGAATACTACTCAAATTACACAAAAAGCCAGTTAGACAAGTTAAAAGCGGAATAGAGAAAATCTGTAAGGATTATGATTCATTGGGTATACCAAAGGAGGGTAATTTAAATATCAAATAATTGGAGAGACCACTGGAAAAATTGAAAAAATCCTCTGAATATATTTTTGCAAAAAAGGCAACTCTTTAAAAGCATGCTAGAAAGTTAAGGGCAAGACTCATATTGTGTTGTCAACTATGTGAAAAATTACAAAAAAGAAAAGAAATTGTCATTCATTCTTTGCTGATTTTCATTATTTCCATAGTTACAATTATAGCCTGTATTTAGATAGCTTTTGGTTTAATACTTTTCATAATCAAGTCCTATTAAAACTTCCCTTTCTATTCCCATGTCCTCACTATTTACCATAAATCTTTAGTTTTTATTACATTTAGGTTCCTAGCCCTGGTGCCAATTATTCCTAGATAACAACAATAACAATATAGAAAGTGATTTTTTTATTCTAAAAATGAATAGAACAAAATTCAGTAAATTCTTTTTCAACAAAGATGTAAACCTTAATTAAATGTGCTCATAAACAAAGCATTCCATAGTTGTGGTTCTGTGTTAACAAAGAAAGCAATGTCCATCATCTTTAGTACTTGTTTATACCATGAGAGATTTCAATGCAGAGAGTATAAAGTACTAGATGAACAAGAGATTAAAACTCACCTAAATAAACAGGGGTCTACAAAGTTTTGAAGAATAAAATCAATGAGAAATTATATGGTAAGTCAGTTCGTCAGCTCAGGGATTGAAATGTAGAAGAAATATGATCATAATTTTGATTAACCTTGCTGTTACATTTCTCAGCAACTGAAGTTTTCTTTTCTTTTTTAAAATATATGTTTATTGATTTCAGAGAGGAAGAGGGAGAGAGAGATAGAAACATCAATGATGAGAGAGAATCATTGATCGGCTGCCTCCTGCACACCCCTTACTGAGGTTTGAGCCAACATCCCGGGCATATGCCCTTGACCAGAATTGAACCTGGGACCCTTCAGTCCACAGGCCAACGCTCTATCCACTGAGGCAAACCAGCTAGGACTGAAGTTTTCTTAAAGATACTAGAGGTCCCACACCCTCTCACAATCCAGGACCCCTTGGGGGGATGTCAGACTGCCAGCTTTGGCCCAATCCCCACAGGCCAGGATAAGGGACCCTACTGGTGCACGAATCCGTGCCTCTATTATGCATATAACATCTTTGGTTAATCTCTTCCCGCCCTCCCCCCTGCCCCCTTCCCTCTGAGATTCATCAGTCCGTTCCATGTTTCCATGCCTGTGGTTTCCACTCCTGCATTGAGCGTCTGTCCCCTGGTGGTCAGTGCACGCCATAGCTACCAGCCGGTTGCTCATCACTTAGGCTTTTATATATATAGATATTGTATATTAAAAGTCAAATAACAGAAATATGGAATAATCAATCTATGAAGAAAATAAGAATCATTTGGAAAGTGATAAAAATCAATGATAGTTTTCCAAGACAGTAAGAAAATATGTTCATTTATTAAAAGAAGGGAAAATATTTATGTTAAGTAGTTCAAACATTAAATCAAATGTCAGATTCCATGTTTTAAAGAACAAATACTTTAATCATAATAATTGTAAATTTTTTACTGAACTATTATTGCTAAATACTATGTAAAAACCTGTAAATACTGACAATAAAATAAGTGTTTTGCTGATATATAAACTTATTAAAACTTTTTATAGTATTCTGAAGTATAAGGAGAAAAAAAATGAGTGGAGAGGCCAGGTATAAGAATGTAGTAAATTAGAGTGCACTCCCCCATTAATAGTTGCAATTTGATAATATGGGCAATTGTAGCCAGATAGTTTGATTATTCAAGCAAAGCCAGAGATTTGGATTTTAATGTAAAATTCCCCAAGTTTGAAAGATTATGTGACACATATGACACAATCCTGGTGGCTGAACCTGGCCTGTTAAGCCAATGGTTGCCACACCTAGTATAAAGCAATGCTATTTTGGTTCTGTATGGCTGATTTACATTTACAGTGAAGAAAGAAAATGTTTCAGATACCTTAATTCAATTTTTCTTATGTCAATTCTATTAACACCATTCTTTCCTTTAATAAGTATACAAATGGATATACAAAATTGTAAGATCTTCTTAATCATGCTTTCATTTCCAAACGTTTTGACATTGGCAGGAGGCAGAAGAGAAAAGGGAGTTTATATGTGTTTCCTAACTTGTGAAAGTTTAGTTAAGAACGGTGAACATCTCAGAGGTACATAACTGCAATCTAGGCTACTTTTCCTTCTTTCCTTCAGTCAGCCTTTAGTTATTCAAAATGACAGAAGGCTGAAAACAGCTATTTGTTTCAGGAGCAGATGGGAAAAGTAGCTGCTTTAAAATGTGATTAAAATACAAGGCCTCTGTTTAGTATTTATTTTACTTTTTAAGCTTCAGATTTTAGGCTTAAGCAACTTTAATCAAGAGAAGAAAGACCAGACAGCTGTGGCAGCCCTAGTCCACTGCTTATGTCTCTGCGTGGGGAATATACTATAAAAAACAAACAAACAATAACAGCAAACAAACAACCAACTCCATCTTTTGCCAAGGCTATGAGAAAAAAAATCACTCATATACTATTGCTGAGAGTTTAGTGAGGGCATACAATCTTTATGGAGAGGAAAAAGCCAATATTTATTAAAATTAAAAATGCATTTACTATTTGGTATGGGATTATGGTGGTGGTTACACAAATCTATGCATGTGTTAAAATGTATAGAAAAGTACATAAAAAGAAAAAGAGAATGGTAATTAAAAATTTAGAGAATGGAAGTGAGCCCACAATGTGGGCATCTGGGTTGTGGTCATTATCAAGTTAATAATCACAGCACCGTAAAGGTGAGCAGGGCAGACAACTCCTGATTATCTCATCTAACTTTATGATCACCCGACTGACATAGAGACTATTCCCCCATTTTTGCAGAGGAGTGCAGCGAAGCTCCATGGGAGGGGAACTGACTTGCCCAGGGGCACGTGAGGAAGCCCAGACCAAACCCAGGCCTGTCTGTACAATTCAACCAACAGGCTCCATCCCCAATGCACCCGCTCTGTTGTTCTGAGGTGGTTGAAATAATAATGGAAAAAAATTTTTAAATGCATTTTCTTTTTGACCCAGTAATCCTACTTTCAAAACATATCCTATAGATATCCTCGCAAAGTTTTTCACTGAGGCAGTGTTTATGTCAAGAAAAGCTAAGACAACTCAAGTGTTCCTCCTTAAATAAACAATGGCACAGACTTTCAGTGAAATACCATATAGCTCTACACAGAAATGAAGAAGCTCTCTATGCACAGACATTAAAACAAAAACAAAGCAAAACTCCAAGATAAACTATTCAGTAAAACAAGCAAAGTGAAAAACTATATATGGTATGCTATCATTTGGGAAAGAAAAGTGACGTTATTATATCTGTATCTATATCCATCTACATTTTAAATTTGTGTGTATAAACAAACAGCAGAAGGATACACAAGAAACTAGTAATGGCTGACTAGAGTGGGGTGGTGGTGGGAGCACATGAGGACACAAGTGGAATCAAGATATTCAGTGAATAGCTTCTAAATACTGTTTTAAGTTTTGAGCCATATGTGGAAAGTTAAGAAAATAGTTAAGAAAGAAATGGGTTAAAAGGCAGCTGAGTAGAGCAATAAGTTTTATGTTCTAACCTTTTACTTGGCTTCCAGGAGTAGCAATTTGACTTTAAATGTATTCAGCTCTAGCAAGAACAAAGCAGAACTTAGGTTCCACTTGCAGTGGTTTCTGCTACATTTGAGTCTGCAGAAGCAAGGGGAAAACTGTATTGGAGACTTATCTGAGGAACACATTTCTTATGATTCAAAATAGAGGCATCAACTAAGGATACACAGTTTGGTTCTTAGATTTGTTCAGCATAGTCCACTAAAGGTATGTAATACTTTTATCTGAAAAGGGAAGAAAATGCCAGCTCAACTGACTTCAAAACTAGAATTAGGATTCCTTATTTCTGCTTCAAATTGCTAAGAACTAACTATTGTATGCTGTGTTTGAACGAGCAAAGGGTTC